ACTATTTTTGAAAAACTATGTGTGGAGTGTGGGTACTTTTTATGAGTTTATATTATATTGTAAATGCTAGTTGTATTTGGTAAGTAAATTTATGGGTATAAAGCACCTTAACAGTACTTGATCGAACCTAACCTATACATTTTTTCTCCTTGCACACTCAAAATAAATAATACAGTTAAACCTGAAATTTGTTTTATGTGTTACCTTGTTCAAAATGGAAAAAAAATATATATATTAATATATAATACTTAGGTATATCGGCGCTTATATTTATTGTTAGCAAGCATAGGCGCCCCTGGCTTTTTCAAAAATTTTTTTAAATTGAATGTTTTAAGATAAATTACTATATACCATACAACAAATTTAAAGTATAAAATATAATATACTGTATACAAGTATAATAAAAAAGGTTATTATTTTAAAACACCTAGTAAAATTATAATATTTATCCTCAAATCCTAACATTGCCYCCTTCTAGAAAAATTTCTGTGGGCGCCCATGTTAGCAAGCCAAAGAAGACGTTTATAAAAAATGTTAGTACAAATGTAYACCCTGCACCACCCCAAATGACGCCCCTGCCATCACTATCAATGCCATGTTTTTTTGGGATAATATTAAAATAATGAGAGGCAAATTGTTTCAATTCAAGTAATACAGAATCTCTATTAACATTGGATAACTTTGTTACAGTTATCAATATATCCATAGGATATTCTTCAAGTTTTTTTAAAAAAAGACTGGGGCCCAGGCAGTGATGGCTGCCTAGCTGCCTTGGCCAGGYCGTCACTGGTAACACCTAAGAACTTATAGTTGGATTTAGATCAGTTAAGGAGATCTCGATTCCAATTTCGTTTGAGCCTGCGAGGGGGGTTGCCAGRKATATGCAGTTGTGACATTTTACAAAAATTTTATTATCCTGCATTATGTAACTTTCATAAAAAATTAAAAAATTCTTATTCATTTTTTTATTTTATTTTATTTTACAATTTGAAATACACAATCTGTACAACATCGCACAATAAGTGTATATGATATTACAATAGTAGCATGAATATATTTTAAATTAAGAAATCACCCATTGCAGGTGACACTAGGCTGGGAATTAACGCTGTCTAGAGTCTAGAATCTAGARTCTAGTCTGATTCATTAAAAAAATATTATTATAATAGCTGCAACACTGCAGTAATGATAGCCACTCTTCACAACTAGGTAATACTAAAAAGAGTGTCATCATCATGTCCCTCAACATAATATATTATATTGTATAATACAGCCCCACGGGTGTTTATATTATAATAAACATCTGTGGTCATATATGGTTATGTCCTTTTATACAAAATCCGTTCAATCTGTGCTCGGACGATACCCTTTGACCATCGGCCAGATAAATACAACGACGCTCTCCCTGCGTATGCCATTGGAGACAGGCATACGCGGTGAGCCGTTCAATATATTTTAAATGTAGTTTTTCTGTATCTTAAATAATAAAATACTCTTTTTAGATATCTCTAAATATTAACAGTTGTGTTGTCATATAATATTGAATTATAAATKAATGASTGTTGAACCTAATTCTCCTTCCTTCGTCCATAAAACACTTAGAAAGTCTTCAGTCGAAGTAGGGTAAGTTAATTTAATGTATAAATAATCAAACCCTTATATGCATATTATATGGATTTGCATGTGTATACATATATACATATAAGAAGGTAGTAATCTGGAGTGTGTACGCGATATRCACAAAAGAGGTAAATAC